CCTTGATTTTAGGGTAGGTAAGATCTAACTCCTAGCCTTCTCGGATAAGGGCGAAAAATCTCGGAGGTCCCGTATGCAGGTTGCACAAGTTAAAGATCCCTCGATGAGAATAGGCTTCGGCCGCCACCCGAACAAAATTCAAAATTAATTCCTACCAAACTGAAAATGCCTAGATCTAACGTTTCCCACGTGCTCATGTGACCTTATGCCGTTGCGAGCGCCGTAAAGCACTTACCAAAAAAAAATAACAACAACAACAACAACAACAACAACAACAACATTAACGTATTCCACTTTGCTCCGTTTGCTGACCCCAATTCTAACCAACTCCCCAGGAAGTGCCCTGCGCACCAGTACCAGGAGGAGGAGTGGCACTTAAACAGGGACTGTCTGGACAACTCTACCTGGGTGTTCACGGACCCGCCATGCCCTGAGAACACGTACGACGACGGAGGGGAGGTAATACAGTCCGACTCGCAACACTAAGGTTGTGTGGGGGGTTTTTGTTGGGTTGTTTTTTTTCGTTGGGTTTTTCTTTTTGGTTTATTGTTGTTGTTGTTGTTGTTGTTGTTGTTGTTGTTGTTTGTTTGTTTTGTTTTTTGTTTGTTTTTCTTGGGGGGGGGGGGGGTTGGGAGGGGGGGTGTAAGTGTTTTACGGCGCTCGCAACTGCATAAGTCATAAGAGCGCTCGAGACATATTAAAAATTTTCAGTTGGTAGGAAACTTTGAATTTTGCCCGGGTGGCGGCCGAAGCCTACTCTTATCGATTTTGGACCACCAAGGTATCTTTAACGTGCGCAACTTGCACACGGGACCTCCAAGATGTTTCGCCTTTATCCGAGAAGGCTAGGTGTATTCTTACCTACCAGAATATCAGGGGTGTGGCTGAAAGACAGCAGTAAGAAGGGGCCAAGGAGAAGCAGTAGGAAGGCTGCAGAAAGAGTCAGGGCTCTGAGGAGGGGCAAAAGGAGGTGAGGTTGCGCAAGTTAAAGGGCAGAAAGTGGAGACGAAAGCGGACGACAGAACATTGCGAGAGAGCAGGAGTGGAGGTGAAAGGAGAAAAATTTTAGAGAAGAAAATTGCCAGTCGCTATCCTGATTCGAACCCGGGACCTGTTCATTGAGAATGAGAGGCAAACACCGTAACCTCTAGACCACGAGGGCCCACATGGACGTGGGTTCGAATCCCGTCAGGGGCCCGGTGTTGTGTTCTTGGGAAAGGCACTTTACACGAATTTTCCTCACTTCACCCAGGTGGGAATGCATATCCAGCTATAGACAGCGAAAGATCTTGTCAGTTTGTTAGTGTTTGAGCGCTTAATAACCTGCTTGCACTGTATGCTTCCCGGGAAGCTGAAAATGTTTCTGAATGTTCTATGGTCTGCCGGGGTAATAATGTAGTGTAAAGCCCATAGAGCCTGCTGTTGGGCGGAAGTGTGCACGATATAAATGCTATTTATTATTATTTTTAATATTATTATTATTATTATTATTATTACTATTATTATTATTATTATTATTATTATTATTATTATTATTACCAATCAATTCATGAAAATGCTAGACCACTCGGTGAGCACGAGAGACGTTACAATGCACCGTCCTGGAAAGAAGTTGCTATACTTATGCAAAGTGAACCAGTTGGGCATCGCGATATTCTAATAGCTGTTACAAAAATAACAGCTTAAAACGAATGTGCGAACTGCACCCAGCACACGACCCACTGCAGTATCCTTTGCTATTCCCTACAGGAAATGACGGATGGGGTCTAACTCAACTATGAAAATGAACAAAAAAAGTGACCCAACTGCTGTTCTCTAAATTCTATCTCTTTACAAGACAAGGAAACTATCTTCTCTTAGCCAGCGTTTGCTTCAACAATTTATTGTGGATGTCTACGCACAAATTGAAAGTGAAAGATGACAGTTTGTCAGACCAGAGAAGAGTTCATTGAGAGCCGACAACTACAGGGAGCTACGGGACGTTGATTTGTTCAGCGGACGGTGACCTAAGAAATATAGTAGGACAGGAAGTTGTGGTATCAGGAACGTTCACAGGTGGACCACGTTGTATGTTTGAAAGACAACAGGATGTCATGACATACGTTTGTTTGTGTGGAAGACCAGATTTGTTTATTACTATGACAACACAATTAATGAATGGTACTTAAGATATATATGTGGCGTCGGTGGCCTAGTGGTTAGACTCTTGGACTCGCAACCGTAAGGTCGGGGGTTCGAATCCCTTCAGATGCCCGACGTTGTGTCCTTGGGAAAGGCATTTTACACGAATTTTCCTCACTTCACCCAGGTCGGAATGGAAATCCGGCTATAGACGGGGAAAGATCTTGTCAGTTTGTTAGTGTTTGAGCGCTTAATCAGCTGCTTGCACTGTATGCTTCCCGGGAAGCTGAGAATATTTCGGAGTGTTCTATGGTCTGCTGGGGTAATAATATAGTGTAAAGCGCATAGAGCCTGCTGTTGACCGGGGATTTGCGCTGTA